GGGAAAATTGAGACAAAACCATAATACTCCTGCTAATTTAAGGCTCTAGCACTGGTAACCTTTTCAAGAGGTTGTCATGCATGCTCCTTGGAAGAACAGCGATTAACTCAGGGAGCTAATTATCAGTTTCTCGGTCTCTCTCCCCTGTCTCCGCTAGAAGATATGGTTGATTAACGGGGGTGGTATCTCCCCACTGCTTGAAACGGAGCACTGATGGGCATGACCTTTGTGTGGGTAGAATACCTTGGTATTCCGCAAACAAATCGTCCACTCCAAGTCAGCGTTAATACTAACCAGTCGGGTCTAGTACTGTGGGTTGGAAGCGCGTTTGCTTTGCCATGAATCTTGTGTCTGGACTCTGGGAGAAGCGGGTACGTGGAATTTTTCCCGGCGCGATACCTTCCCCCACATCCCGCTCTCATGGGATTGACAGCCGAAGAAAAGGAATGAATTCACAGGATATGTTTTCCTCACGTCGAGACCCTATCATCTCTATTGTAATCACCATGAGAGCTCCTGAGTGTGGGATGCTCAAGAAGTTTCATCTAGATGAGATGAGATGGAGAGAGGTAATAGAACTGAGGAAGACGAGAAGCTAGCCTTCTAAAGCGCCATTTCGAGTTGTTAATCAATAGTAATTAACCTCCATGCTGCGATAGTGCTGAGAGGCGTAGAAATACTCTGAGCGGAGTTTTCGAATTGGGCCCTATCCGAGGTTTGTAATCAATAAATTACATAGCTAGGATGGGGCAGAAAAAGAAAATAAGATCAAGGAAAAGAACACGCAGCACACGTGGAAGGAGGAATAAATCAGCTGTCTAAGCTAACTAAAGATGAAGTTAGACGTAAAAGTCGAACAAACCTGAGAGGAAGTGTCTGCGGGGATATGCAGCGTCAAGGCTTATTACTTCGGCCAGTCAGTATTTCGCCTCTCATGGTCAAATTCACCATCAACCACGTTATATTCTGTCAGCGCTAACTTGCCAACACTGCCACTAGCATATTCCCTCTTACTGGCAACTTGTGACAGAGCGACATGGTAGATCGGTTGTATCTTGAAACCCCAAGGTTCAAGGAAATCAGCGAGGAAATGACCAAAGAAATGGATCACTCTTCAAGCCAGGAGGAAATGGCTATTCAAAACATGGGATCGAGAGAATGCTTTAGTCGAGCCATCAGAAAGCTGAATTTCTCCCCTTCGGCGCATAATCAGCTGGGTCATTAAGGAAGTCATAACGATGTAGCCCGCTAGCCAAGGGAGGGGAAGATCTTAACCAGGATAGTTAATCATGACATTAACCGAAGAATTCTATCGGCACTATTGTTATTTAGTTATAACATTGGCGAAATCGTGATCTTCAGTGACTCTTGAAATCCCCAGGCAAAACTCTGCGGAAGGGAAATGCTTCGTTGTCCAGACTGGGGGAGAGGTGATGATCATGCACATCATTTTTTTTTTTTTGGAGGAAAAATCCAAACCCCAATTCCTAGTTATTTGAATAACTAGTTAGTTTAACGAACGATGATTTCGGCTGTCCTGGTTCCACACTGGCCTGTTCGTAGTGGTGGCTGCCGCATGGTCGAACGGGCCCAGCAGTGGCAGTCTTGAAAGCATCACTAGTTAACTACCAAAAAGCAAATCGTGAAAGGTCGAGTTGACTCCGTTTCAGCGGTTGGCTGGTGCAATGATTTAGCTGCATGGCGAGCAATATTCTCGAAGACGAACCAGCATCCTGCGCAACCTCTTCCGACGATTGTGGCGCAACGGATGATCGGTCGTCTCGCAACTGAACCTGACTCCCGGTTGTTCAGACTCGCGTTTCTCCTGATTCGTCCATTCAACTTACGCCCGTGAACTTGACAAATTTCGGTTTTGACCAAGAGGCACAACACGGTGATCGGGAAGAACGTGTATGACGAGTTAAAGCCAAGTGGAATATTCGGTCACAGGAAGTTGGTGAAACGCAATACCCCTGAGAAAGGATATTCAATCAGATCCGTCGCCCACCTGCAATTGTTGTTGGTCTCTGACCTCTTCCCTTCAACAGCAGAAGACCTTCAGAGAAATATCCTTAGAGGACCAGAGGGGCGCCTGGTTTACTCTTTGAGTCCAGTGGTTTCACCCTCTCTCCAACTCCGGCGGCAGTTGATGTTTTTATTCAGAATCAAACAACCTCGAACAAGACGTGCAGGGAGAGTTTCCCCGAAGAATTTCGGAGCGCTAAATGTCCTTCGACTATCGCGTAGTTAGGGGTAGAATAGGAGGCGTCATCACAACTTAAAAGTCCAGAATGGAAATAATCAACGTTCTTGAGGCTGGCGGGGGGCGGAATGGAACAAATATTGTATTTTGGTTCAACACAGACATGGGAATGTGTGTATTATGACATATATTCATCGCTTCATGGACTAGCATAAAGGGCAGAGACGCGTGAAAAATAAAAAAAATAAAAAAAAAGGAGAAAGTTAAATATCATCTCCTTCAGCGGTGATGCATGGACGTCTTATGGGCTGCTTAATGTGGCGGTGGATCTGCAAAGTGTTAGCAATTGTCAATTGAGCATCTGTATTGGGTAATATGTACGTGATGAAGTCCTCAGGAGGTAAATAGGAGTCTTGTAGAGCAATCAATATTTTATCTGTTTTTGTGCTCTACCCTCAGTTTAAATATTCTACCCACTGCTCCCTTCTACCCGCCACATTTCTGCACTTTACTTCCATTCAAGCACATACAGCCGAACTGCATGGAAAGACAAATTGCGGAACAAAAATCTAGGATCAACATTTCATTTCATATTTTTCATATCTTTTCTTTTTTTTTTTTTTTTTTGGGCTATCTTTGTGCTCACCGCCCAACCATGGATAGCAAACAGAATATAGCTGGTGGAGAGGCCTTTGTGGATAGCCGTTCCACAGCGGAAGTGGCATTGATTAAGCATATGTATATTAACGTAACACACTAGCAGCTATGGCCCGGGACGAAAGACTATTCGAATTAATCCTGTGCTGATGCACATTGATTTCGTTTTGCTGCCATCCCCCCTCCCTCTGCTGCGATTGGATCTCCGGATAGATATAGGGATACCTAGTCATAGGCAAATATAGGGTTTTCGAGAATTAGGAGTAACTAGTACATACATTCTGCGTGTGATTGGGGGTGTCAGATCTGCAACTCCTCTCCGCCGGCCGAGGAGCGGTGGGGAGGTTGGACAACGGAGGAAATGAAGAAGGCGAGCGACAGCTCGTTTAGTACCACCTTGTTATAGGTTTTCCCGCACGTAAAAGGGGAAAGTGAATCGTATAGATCTCGTCTCACGTAACCAAAAAGATAAAGGTCGAAATAGATTAGGCGGGAGAAAAGTGGGAAACCCAGAAAATGAGGTCGAATTTTCAAAGAGCGTAATACCGTGAAGCTTAATAAATGTATGTAGCAACGAGCACAGAAAAACAACAGGTCAGACACGCAAAGAACTCCAATGCCGGCTCTCCGCTTTAGAAATCAATCAATCAATCAATCAATAAAAATAAAACACAAGAATTTGTCACGGCTGTCATCGCCTTTCCCATCGGTGTGATGGTGGAGGAGGTCGCGGTTCGTTCAGAGTACTATCAGGCGACGCATCGGTATCGTCCGCCGGCTCAGTTGTGATCTCAATCGTCGTCTTTTGGTAAACCTTGCCAAGCTCACGGAGCTCTACAGGTTGCACAATTTGATCTGTAGACCCTTCGCGATCATGCTGCGTGTCAGTTTCCGTCATCTGCCTTCGATGAAGGATACTGTTGTCCAGCCGGGACATTTTATGATCCGCAGTGACAGTCGTAACGTGGCTAAGTCCGACACGTTGGGAATTATAGAAGCGGTCAACATTACTGGGTTCAGAATCGATAAGGAGAGCTTGTCGGGTCACAGTGTACATGATCACATCCACGAATCCGGAACTGGCGATTACTGCACCGGCGGTGCAGAAATAAGAGACGCTCAACCTTTGACCTCTGGCGGTCGCCATGCGACCAGCGGCAAGGGGTAGTGATAGGACAATGTATGCAATGGGATACAATACCATATATCCAATCACTCTTCTCAGCCGTCGCAGGTTATCAGTTTGCCCTCGCCCTAGAATCGCTGATTGAGCGACCTGGCGGCGTAGGTGAAAGAAAAGAAGTGCGTAAAGCATGATGGATCCGAATTCGGACACAAAAATCCAAAAGTAGTGTGTCCACAACCTGTCCGCGTCATAATTTTCATCAATCCAGCACTAGATAAAGGAGAATTCATATGTCAATAACTGCAATGATGAATATGGTACAGTGTCGAGATGTTGGAATTTTCTACATACCCAAGCGCCAGACGGTACGTAGACATGCCTCCCATGCTGAATTGTGGGAATTAGTACTAGAAGAAGCGCAAACGCCCAAACACCACACACACATGCCACGAACCAACGGTGAGACAGCTTTCTCCCCATAAGCACGATTCCAAATGTGTGGGCGGCAATTGCAAGAACGAATAATCCACTGGATGGATCACCTATCTGCAGCAGCCATCCCTGGAGAAAGCATATCGGGGAGTCGTAAGATATTTTATCTCTAACAGTCCAATGTAGTGCCATCAAAAACCCAACAGCCTGTTGGAAATCTGCCAACAGCAGATTATAGATCAGGATGATGTACTGATTATATCCGATGTATGTCGAATAGTACCTTCTCCAGAAGACCAAGCGATAGGTAACGAAGATTAATAGCGCTCCAGTCGTAATTGTAGAGAGCAGTGACGTAGAAGCAACAGCGATGAGGCCTCGCCGGTGTTCTTCCGGTAGTGGATCGATTATCAGCGGAGTGACTCGTCGAGGAGGGAGGGATCTCGCATTGAGTATGCTAACGGGCGTAACTTCAGATGCGGTCCATAGCAAGGAGACCAAATTCATATTGTCCTCCAATACCTGTTAAATTCCCTATCTCGTACTCTGGGGCCCCTCCGGTCAATTGAAATCAGTGGAGCTGGAAGCGACCAAATATATACCCGAAAGACTTCAGAGAAGATAGACTTGAGGATAAAGTTTCGTGAATTCCTGACAATATCAGTTCGAAATAGTGTTATAGGCATATACCGCCAACGTGTGCCGGCTGGGTTGTCAGAAACGCCTTTTCGACATTGTTTTGACTTATTGGAAAGATAATATGAACATCTGGGGAAAGATTACCCTTTTTGTTCCAATCCACAGGGACTCAGGGTGGCCCACCATATCGAGACCTTAACTCCGCAGGGGTTAAAATGGCCTGGCAAGGGGTTGCATACAGAGCTCGACTCATGCTTCCGAGAACTGCGGTGGAGTGCATCTTTGAAAGGACCAACGGCACATCCTCGTCCCTGTCAGCATCCTGACTTGCATGCCGAAATCTGGAGTAGATCACAAATCTTCCATCTCAATTGTAGCAAAGAGCCCTGGCAATTCCTCTGAGTAGGAAGCTGTGATACATACAATCCTTTTTGCCTGTCATTCTTTGAGTCAAAGGGCATCATTCGTTCCCAGTTTAGTTGGGCTCCGTGTCGGAGTAATTCCCTAGCGGCAGTTCAATGGAATGAACTGTTTGAGCGCCACCTTTTCAAGCGTAAGGACTAAAATACCCCCAAGACCTCCCGCAATTTGCATAAATTCATACTCTCTCTTGTTTTGCTTTTTCCTAGTCTGAGCGCGCTGTGGTCGTAATCCCAGCACACTGTTTTGCTCTGCAGGAATTGGAAATCGGGAATTCGATATTGTGCATGATGCAAGGTTAAATTTTTGTTATGAGTCTTTGCTGTCTCCCTGTGGTTGAAATTTTCTTATTGATCCAGTCAACAAGGTGGACAACGAAGAGCTGTTACTTTCCCAGGTCATCTCAATACCAACATTGCCAGTATTGTTTGTTTGAAGACGTCCAGACAGCCAGGTGCCGTGTCCCATAGATGAGAATCATTACCAGCAGAATGCGCCGCCCCTTTGCGGGTCCAAATATTGACTAGGGCTCACATATCCGTCCCATCAAGTAATTCAGAGCCTGGAATTTCGGTCAAAACTAGAGTCACGGTCAGCGACAGCTGGGGTCATTAAAAGAAGCAAAGGAGCGCGTGGAATTTCGTGACTGTCAGGATTGAGCAAACACCGGAGTCTTGCCAAGCTGGGATGGAAAATTAGATCCAGATCAGCTTACTTCCGCTTCCAGCGTATGATCCCGAAATGAAGA